AATGATGAGCAGAGCTGTTGCTGTATCGCACCAGTGCTGACCAGTTTCATAGCAGTCTTAAGCATGTCCTGGAAAAGTTTGGATGCAGGCAACCTCTGTATGAAGACAAAGTTTGCGGCATCTTTTCCCTCTCTCCCCTAGCGAAAGGGTTTGAATGGGTAACCCTAATGCAGCGTAGCTAACAGGAGTGATGTGGTTTTCTGCAGGAAAAGTACATCATCAAGTTTTATAAACCCTAGATTTGTGCAGGATTTGCAAATGAGCATTATGGCATCACAGCCAATGCCTTGCGGGCATTGGGAAGGTGTGGATTAATTTTTATGTGAATTTGAATTTAATTTTGTGGAAAGCCAGTTTCATGTCTCCACCGATCCCGCATTACATTTGTGTTTTGTTTTGTTTGCTAAGCATGGCATGCCTGGTACATGCAGAAGTGCAGTAGGAAGGAAACTCCCAGAGTTGTAGGGTAAAACCAAAATATCTTTGTTGGGACAGATCAGCAGTTTGCTTAAGCTGGTGAAACACTGCTGAGGTAATAGGAGCTTTACTAATTTACACCAGGTTTCTTCTATTTTTTTCAAAAGTCTTTGCTTTGTAAGGAAAATTTTCTTACAGCAAATATGGAAAAAAGCTTAAAAGAAAAGAAAGAAGAGGAAGATAATGGGAAAATATTTTTCAGTGGAAGGGAAGGTACAAAAATATCCATTGGGCAATACAAAATTAAGTTTCTTGAATCCGTGAAGGAGTAACAGGGGTTCTGATTCAGCGTCCAACATAACAACACCCTGGAAAAAGCTATTTTTGTTTTCAAACTTGTAGGTCCCTTTGTGATTCTTGCTTACAATGTACATTAACAGAAGAGGGATTATTAACCCTGTGAGGCCACTATCACCACATATCTTCCAGATTGCCCTAATTGCAATGGTAGCCTGGCAAAAATGTATCCACCCTTGAGGCTTAAATAATTTACGTGGTGGGAATCACAATATGATCTGCTGTGATAATTTGATTTGAGAATCACAGTATGAACTCCTCCATTTTGCTTTCTTTCCAATTTACAGGTGCACTTTGAAAAGATATGATTTTACAAAAGTTAATAGCCTGTTCAAGGTCATTTTGTGTGTGTGTATATGTGTGTGTGTGTGCATATATAAAAACCAAAAGTTAATAGCCTATTCAAGGTCATTTCATGTTCATGGCTATTTATAGATCTTTGTATTTCTTCTCTTCAGAATATGAATTTCACATGTGCGTGTAAAGTTATTAATATATTATGTGACTTTATACGTGAAGAATAATTGTATATAATTAGGTTGCCATCATTGGTCTTGTCTTAGATAGCACAGTAAAAGAGTTGTACCAAGTATTGCCAGCATGTACTCAGTGCCTTAGGCAAGACATAACTGTGCTATTGCACACCTAATCTTTGATGATGTGCCTTTTCAAATAAATTGTTAAATGGTAATTGTTTTGGTTAGGGAGATAGTAGTAATTGACAGTGGTTTAATGAAACTGTGATTTACAATATACATGAAATAATAAATGAGATATTAATAAGAGAAGCAGATTTAGGAAAAATAATTATTCACAAATCTGCGCAGGGGAAAATGAGAAGCACATTCCACAGTGCAAACAAAGATCAAAGCTCCATGATTCCCGCCATTCCTGGCACACGCGCTGGTCAGGAATGGATTGATTAAGGAGAGGATTAACTCCCTGCTGTCCTGAATTTGATTGAACACACTGAGCTTGCCTGCAAACCTGGCTAGAAGCAGGACTTATCTGAACCCGCCCTGAATTTTGCCCTCCAAACCAGTCTGGCAGGTTGCGAGCTCCCAGTTCCTTTGCGCATACTTCAGTAGCGTTTCTATAGCTGCTGAGCTGAGGTCTGACATATGCAGGATTGGCAAGGGCTTGCATTGCTGCCTGTGAGATACAGACCCAGTAGGCTGAACGCCTTCTAGCATTGCCATCTTCTTTGTTTCTTGAAGCAAAAGCATTTTCTATGAACTTGATTGCATCTGAGGTGGAAATAGTAAGCAGCATAGTGGTTCCAATTAGATCTGAAAGCAAAAATAGAAACCTAAGGTCAATTCATTCTTAGCAGAAAGTGGCCTATTACTTTGCATTTTGTTAAGTTTCTTGCACTAATCTACGTTACTGTGCGGAGAGCCACCAGTTTCGCTGGGTGCAACGTCTTGCCCTTACTTTCCCTAATCGTTGAGGGTAGTTGTTGCAGAGACCAAACTTCGGTTTGTAATTCATGATCCAGCTGACACCATTTCTCTGTCCTTTCACTGTTTGGCATCCAGACCTAGCACAGCCCTGCTGGATCCCAGCTCCCCTGAGTTCTCGGCGGTTGTGTCTGTCAGTGACTGGCTCCAAGCCATTAAAATGGAGCGATACAAGGATAACTTCACAGCTGCTGGCTATACCACCCTAGAGGCTGTGGTGCATATGAACCAGGAGTAAGTACTCAGCGATATAACAAAAAACTGGTAAATCTGGATTTAATCGTCCTCTTTTGCTTTGTGCTGCATATCATTACACTCATTAAAGGAATGGAATGCCTTTCATTTGGATGGAGGATAACTTTAAAATGCCTCCACAATGCCTTCACTTATTTAATTAAACATTTCTGTACATCTGCCTTGCTTTTGCTGTGTTGCTTGCGGTTGGCTCTTAATATTTTTCTGTACACTGGCATCTGATCCACGGTCCTCAGCTCCCTGCTTCTTCTCTTGCTTTCCACAGTGACCTGGCAAGGATCGGGATCACTGCCATCCCGCACCAGAACAAGGTCTTGAGCAGCGTTCAAGCAATGCGCACCCAAATGCAACAGATGCACGGCAGGATGGTTCCCGTCTGAGCCAGTACTGAATAAACTCAAAACTCTTGAAATTAGTTTACCTCATCCATGCACTTTAATTGAAGAACTGCACTTTTTTTACTTCGTCTCCTCGCCCGTCGAAATAAAGATCTGCAGCATTGCTTGATGTACAGATTGCGGAAGCCGAGCGTGTGTGTTGGGAGGGGGCCCTCCAGAAATGACAAGCCGTCATTTTAAACCAGACCTGGAACAAATTGTTTCTTGGAACATTCTTCTCTGTTGATCAATGATATGTAAAATACATGTATCTATATAAATATAAAGTCACATTCAAGTTTTGATGCTATGTTTGCTGCCAGATACTGTGCTTAAAAAACAAAAACAAAGTTATTTTCCTTCTCCCTGTGACGCGTAGGATTACAACCATAGTGTTTTATTTGTGGGTGAAACCACCATTGTGCATCTTCCACTGGAATGAAGACTCTGCTCTAGGATATTTTTTGCAGACTTGATGCATCAGTAATACCTTGCAGAAACCTCCGTGAGAATATCATTTGGCTAATCAGTGCCTGTCGATTAGCGATCTACCCATTTACGGGCTTGAGACATGAAATGACCCACCTCGTGGATTACTGGGCAAAACTGGACTTCTGGGGAGATTATTGGCTGTTGTTGTGCCGTGCTGAATCCTGCCACTTAAAGACATTTTATGAACATCTTGCCAGTAGTCAGCTGTGACAATCGTGGCTGTGGAGCTTTCAGACTTCTTTTCTCTTCCAAGAAGTGATTCCCTTTGCCACACGGAGAAGGTCAGTAGAAGTACAGTGTCCCAACATGTTCTTGGTGCTTTATTTCTTAAACTGTGCTAGGATTTCATCGCTGTTGGGGGGGCGGGAGTGCTGTAGTATGTATTACTTGGGGTTCCCAACTGGTCTGTGTGAACCTGTGCCCATTTCCCAGACTGATTGCTTAGTGTTTCCCATTGTTTGCTCTATTTGATGACAGTGAAAATAGCTCTGTTTCAAAACCTGGTCTTGTTCTCAAGCTGTTGCATGTTAAGAAGCGCAGACAAGGTGTAGGAGTGTGTCTTGGGGCTCACTCAGCTCAGTGCTAAGAGCCTGACTGCACTTTGCACTGAGAGCAGTAGGGATGCCCTTATTGTTTGGGTGGAAAACCCCACATAGAAAGTAAGAGTAACCTTGTAAAGTGCAAATACTCGTAAACGTGCCAAGAAGAACCAAGGACTTTTCCTGCCCTCCCATGAACAACAGTAGAACCAGTAGTTGTGGTTTAGAACGATTGGTCTCAGTTGGCGTGTCAGTGGTTTTAAGGGAGGGGGAACAGAAGGAAATGGGATTATGTATGCAGCCTTCCTGGTATTGCACAGTTTGGGTGTCGGGCATGGTGATAGCTCTGTTATGCAGCAGTGTTACTCGTCAAACACGATGACCCAGTCTCATCAGCTGTGGGAACCAAAGTCGATTTTGAAACCAGCCCCATAGGCTGGATTATCACGGCAGCTGTGGCTGTGAGTGCATGGCTCAGGTCTAAGTGACCCTCTGCAAGGCTGGCAGACAAGATGGAGCATGACCTGCGCAACAGCTGCCCTTCTGCTCCTCTTACAAAACAGGAGGAGAGTTGAGTGAATGACGGCATCCCTGGGTTGCTAGGTGGAGGTGACTGCTACAGGGATGTGGTTGTCCTCATCAGGTCAGGTCGGATAAAGCGTTATCCGGTCAAGCTCTGAACACATTTGGGCTTGTATTCTATTTATATTAAAGCTTTTATTACTCTTTTTGAACAGTGTGTATAAATTAGATTCCTTTTAAAGTCCTCTTGAGGACCAAAGTTATGAGATGACCTTAGAAAAGAGACAGGATCAGGCCCACTTATGCTGTGCTGCATGGCAGGAGGATTTTCGTGACGCATCCTCTAGAACAGACGTTTCTTTTCAGCTGTGCCAGGCACAATGTCAGAGAGGTGGGATTTATACTTTGATGGCGCTAAGACTGGTTCTTTGGTCTGTAATATTTTGGTCCCACTCCACACCTGACAGCAAATTCAGAAATTATTTAGTGGCCCCATATGTCAGATTTTTTAATAATTGCATTTATTCTAAATCCAAACCAGCTCACTCAGTGGGACAAGTCACACTTACTGTATCATCACTCACATCACTTTTTGTCACTTCTAACAATAACTTGCTGATTTGAACCACTGACTCTCCCTCACCCCCAACTTTCTTAGAAAACAACTTGTTCAGAATATGGGATGCTCAATTTGGATCCTGTCAAGTCATGACAGTTTAGTAAAAACTGTTGTGCAGTATTGCTTATTATAAAAGCTTTTCCATTTCAAGAAATTTAAGATTTCTTTTAAAAAACTACTTAAACCAGCATGTTTTAATGTCATTTTGCCAGGCAGCACAAGAAGTGGTTACTCATTTTAAAGACCTGACACTTGTACTTTCAGCAGCAAAAATTCTTTTGCTTCTTAAGTGCAGTTTCCTCTTGCTGTAAATCTGTTGCATTCTGTTGAGATTGTCTTTTTACGTAAAACCAAAATACAGCCAATTTTCTGGCCAGTTCGTAAAATTGCTTTCTTGGAGTCTAGTTACGGTAATTCAAAACACTCCGATATTTTCCACATGAAATGAAAAACTGTGTCCCTATAGAATGAAAGCTGTGAAGGCAGCTCAGATGCCAGGTTTTCAGAACTGCCACTGATGGTTGCATTCCCTGTGATAAAATATGGCCATTGAGAGCGCATCCACTGGAATGAGATTTTAGCTGGAGGAGAGCAGATTAAAAAAAAAACAAAAACAGGTGGCACATATAAGTAAATAGATAGATAGATTGTGCATCTGTTTTAGGGTATGTTATGGAAGCAAGGCTTTGACATAGTGTGAGGGAAAGAAAAGGGATGAGGAAGGCGGAGGGTTCGCGCCCTTTGAGAACTGCTGGTTGTTGTGTGGTCTCGCTGGCCCGAGGCAGCCGCAGCAGCCAGCGAGAGCGTGGCAACACGCTGCCTTTGCGGTTCGGCCACCCACCCGGCTGTGCGAGGCTTCCATCTCTTCCTCCTTTCTCCTCTGTCCTTTGGGAAATCCTTCTCCCCTCTCTGGGGAGAGGGTTAATGCCATGAACCTGCTGCCGTGTCAGCCCATCAGCGGGGCGAGATGCGCTCATGTCCCTTGATGTGAATCAGCAGTTGCCGCGGCCAGGGAGCGGCTGGCTGCCCACAGCCCTGCGGATGCTGGGAGGCGGCAGGGGCGGCGTGCGGGCAGGCGTGCGTGTCCGTCTGCTTGCACATCATTTAACATATTGGTGCTTTCTTTTTGTGCAGGGAAATTAGATTTTGCTTTCACGGCCTCGTAGCCCGTCCTGTTGATCATATTGACCATGGAGGAACATAGACTGGACACGAAGCCTTCTGGATCCACAGTTGCGTCTTCCCTAGCACTGATTCTGGAGAACACACGCTGAACAGTCATCAGTCCCTGAAGAGAGTGTGACTTTTACTTTCTCTTTTTTTATTTTCCTGCCACCCACCCCAGTTTTTTAATTCAATGCGAGATAACTAACTCAATAAGACTCAGCACCCAGTTGTCACCTGAGGAATGTACTGTGTTAAAACCCTGCAGACTTCTGGAGGTTTTTTTTCCCTCCCCTTCTGCTTTCTCTTCCCACCTTTGGTTTTATTTATATATTTTGTTATTTTCTCTCCTCATCAACCCTGGCTGTCACTGCTGCATCTTGGATGAATGCAGGTGGCGGAGCACTACACATCTTACCATGGACGCCAGGCCAGGTGCCGCAGCAAAGAACCCAGTTCCTGTGAGCTGCCTATTTACGTTGCTGAAGTGACATTTTACACAAAATGTGCCATTGCAGTGATATAAATATATTTTTTTCCCTTGAATGAATAATGGATTGTTATCTCCTCTGAAAGGTGCGTATGTGTGCTTGTGTGCGTGTGTTTGCGTGCGAGTCACCTCGTGTGTAGAACTGCCTGTGAATGTGCCGAAAACACCTCTGGAAGCACAGGAGCCCCCTGTCATGAGAGCAGGCCAATCGCTTGTGTCTGCAAGGGTAGCAGGAACACACACATTAAAAAAATGTTTAAATTTCTGTATTATTAAGTGTATTTTTTAGCTGCCACGCTAACCTTAATGAGTAGTTCTGCAGCCTGAAACAGGGGCAATTTCAAGCTAGTTTTGGAGTTGTGAATTACAGGATCGATAAGGGTGCTAAAAAAATTTTTTTTTTTTAAGTGTTGGTTATTCGTACTAATGCCCTGTTCATGATCAAGATCAACCAGTGTCTCACTGGCAAGGTGATGGAGGCAACACCTGCATATCCATCCACTGGTAACCCTGAACTGAATTCTTAAGTAGCCTTTTTTATCTGTAAAAGTAGGATTTTAAAGACTTGTTGAATGCGAACAAATATATGCAATTCTTCCATTCACAGAAGCACCTTGCTTTGTGTGCAAGCTGTGAAATGTTGTAATGTAATAATCAAAACACTTCATTTGCTCCCAGCACAGTTAAGGAACAAAAATGCAACAAGGCCTGTAAGGTTACAGTCGTTAGCAAAAGAGTTGTGAAACACATCCCGTTCCTCGTGCGGGTGAGGAAGTGCTGGTGAAGCGCAGTAGAAGGCACTCCTCTGTCACCCGAGGAACAGCGCCGCAACTCACTGGTACTACCTAGAAAACCTTTCTGTGTTTGGAGAATTCACTGTTAATGCAGGGCAAGCCAGTTTCTGAGTGGAGCTGTGCGCTAGAGCCCAGGGAACGTACGGCTGCTGGGAATTTGGAGTGGGGTAGGCGATGCTCCCCGCGGTGCTTCCTGGCCGCAGGGGGCTGGCATCTGCCACGCGCGGTGCCCCGTGTGGCACACGGGACAGGGGCTCGCTCCAGCAGACGTGGGGGAAGCTGGACATGCTGCCCTAGAGGAGAGCGCAGCCTTGCCCGGCGCCAAGAGGTGGTGTCCCAAAGGTGCTCCCGCTTCCTCCCCTCTTCCCTCCTCACTGGCCCCC